CAGCGTCGAGGGACCTCTGAGCGTTTGTATGGAAAGACTTAGACATGGTACATAACCATCACTGAGAGAAGTTTTATTCTAAGATTTCCTAAATTTTGAGTGCTTGACTTCACAATTTTAGCATCTTTTATGATGGCAATGTCATACCTATTTCTCTAATATGAACTGAAGAAGGCAGGAGCAGCACCATCATGGTCTTGCCAGGAGATCCAGCCCATGGGCTTCTGCTGCTGTACGCAGCAGCGTAGCTGGCAACAACAGCTGCCTGCTCTGGTCCTAAGATGGGGGTTTTAGCAGAGTTGTATGACTTGGTGTTGCAGGGGAAAACACTCTCAAGTCATGAAATTTCACTTAATTTATTGCCAATTAAGAAAAACTTTAGTTACTGGTTCTGGTATTGAGAAATTATGACAAACAATTAGATGCCTGAGAAGACACCTCAACTTCCTTCCAGACACCTTTCTTCCCCCCCTTGCCGGTCTCAAGTCCAGTCCCTGCACATTATACTCAGTCATGGGGATCAGTGTGAGGTGCTTTCCTTTTCCTGCCACTCTTTGTCTCTTACTCTTTTTTTTCCATGTCTCCAGCATGGGGTCCTCCACAGGCCACCATCCTCTCAAAGGCGTAGCTCCTCCTGGGTATCCGTCTGTGCAGGCGTCCCCTGCCGCTGCGCAGGCCTTGCCTTTTTCTCTGGCATTTCCTGCCCCAGTTGGCTACTGCCAGTAGGTCCAGTTTCTCTAAAAGTGGTAGCCGGATTGTATCCTAAACCAAACCATTCTCCATCTGCTGTTAGAAACATTCTTCCTCAGGCTCCCCTTTCTCCTGCAAAGTCATTCCCTGGCTTCGTCTGTACTGTCTCTGTGCTGGTGAGTGCAGGGAAGGGAGGAAAGCTTTCTTCAGAGCACAGGAAAAAAAGGTCCCTGAATTTTACTCAGTTCCTGGCCATACCTGCTGTTTCAGGTGATGTCCTGTGAAGTGGGACTGGAGGCCATCAGCTCTGAGGGGACAGCAGAAAGGCATTGCGCACATGTGTGGGTGCCACAGGAGTGGGGAAGATGCTCTGTGGGATGGTTTGCAAGTTGTCTGGTCACACGTGAGCTGCGGGAAGGATGTTAACAGGCTTTTTGTGGTTGTAGACTTTGAAGGTTTTAGCTGCTGAGCTCTCTCATCTCTACTGGATGTGTGAAATGCAGTTTTTTGAAGACTAATAACATTCCCACAAAAATCCACTCATAGTTGGGTAAAACAAAAGGCATGTGCCTGCAATCGAGCTGCACTTTGTTTCAGGTCTCTGCTCTAAACACCAGAGCGTGAGAGGATTTCAAATTAAGCCACCAGAAATTTAACCGGGGCAGAATAACATGCTTTGCCCTGCTTCATTCTTAGAAGTAACTGAAGTGCTATTTTTGAAGTTCTTCCAAAAGGTTTTATCCTTTAGACAGAAACAAGCTCAGAATATATAAGCATAGACAATTAAGGGTTGGCAAAATTATAAGCTGACAAAATTGGGGTCCTGTGGTAGGAAATGCTGATCACTTTGTAATGGGTGTGAGTCCTTCCTTTGTTCTAGAAATTGCCTAATGTAATCCAGGCTATGCCAGTGAATTTCCCAGGGAGATGGTGGTGTTCGTATGCACATTTTGGAAAAGCCATGCTTTATGCATGAGCAAAAAAGTACCCCACAGCCAAATAAAATATAGCAAAGTGTCTATGCATCTTTGCAGAGTGATGTGCTTTCTCCTGTTTCAATTAATGCTATGCAGCAGACTGAAATCGTAAATGTAAAAAATAAGCAAGCTGCACCAAGGCTGGTTTGCAAAGCCATACAGAAGGTCAGTGTTGGATGGTAATAATATGGAAATCAGCTTGGATCACAAGCGTGAATGAGTTCTGTGATTCAAAACTGGGCAGTAATAGGATCCAGTATTAGGGTCAGGCAGGTGTGAAGCTACTAGTGATGAAGATTTGAAAATAAATTAAAGACTTGTGGGGCAAAATGCAATGAGTTCTGTAGACAGTGTAATTGTACTAGTGGAATAAGGTATTTTCCACCTCTTGACCTTTTGCCCTCCATTCAGTCACAGAAATCCATAGGTTCAAAGGTTTGGTTTTGACTTACTGGGCAGTGAAGAAGCTCTGATAAGGCTTTGTAGCTATTAAACTTTCATAGGGTTGCAGCCTTGTGGTTGAAGCTAAAGAGATGGTAACTGGTTTTTTTTTCTCTTGGGGATAGAATTTCAATTAAGTCAGTGTTGCTCAGTATTAGAATTCCAGCCTTGCAGGCTGCTAAGTGTATGGAGCTTGTGTTATAGGGAGCAGGACCTTTGCCTGAGCCTAAAAAGTTTCCAAAACTGATCTCTCTCCTTTACCCATCTTTGCAAAACTCTGTGTCGTTTAATGCTCTGATAATGCTTGTTCTAAAGTGTGTTGATGCTGCTGCAGGCCTGTGCTGCAGACCCATCCAGCGTCTTAACAAAAAGCAGGAGATATGGTTTTTCAGAAGTGTTTGGCATTACCAACAGTTCCTCTCACTGAAGTTGATCAGAGCTGAGGGCTTTAGAGAATCCACCTGAAATCCTTGTGTTAAAAGTTTTTTATCCACGCCTTTGAGCTTTTGACTACTGGGTTTTAGACAGTTCTGTGGCTTATGAGGAGAAAAAGAGATGGACCGACTTTGCTTTGATGTCTTCAGTACAAATCGGCCTCTTTCAGCTGAAACCTGTTGGTGATTTGTGTAGCTATGTGAAACTGCTTGTAAAGCTAACAAGCTATTTGGTGTGCCTTTCACTTCTCCCACAATTCCCTTTGAAAGGAGCTATGTCTTTATGGTTTATGGACCAGGCTACCTTCTCTTGCAATGGGAAGTCTAAGCTGTGGATTTCGCTGATATCTTGTTAATTGGAAAGATCTGATGGGAGGAAAAAAAATAAAGAAAACCTAGCCTGGGAAGAGTCTTCAAGGGTTACTGTCAAATAGAGCACTGGCCTGCTGGGGGGACAGATCTTTGGGGGGTTTTATGCTGGTCTACTAAAGTCAGTGATATAAATGAGCCATACGTATGCCCAGATATGTTGTGTTTCCTGACTAGTCCTTTACCTGCTTTTTTAAGTTGCTGCATGTTGCGTGCCTTCTGTTCTGTGGTAACATAGCAGCTTTGCATCTTGCTGCCTGTATGACTCCCGCTCCCCATTCTGCATGATCTGCTGAATGTACTTACTGTGCATCCAGAAAAAGCCGAAATAGATGTTGATAGTTTTTGCTTTTTGTTTTTTCCCCTGTCCCTTCTTCTCTTGACAGTTTTTTATCATGCTGTTAATTATATTTCTGTTGGAGCTCACTGTTGTGATTCTGTTCTTTGTCTACACCGACAAGGTAAGTCAGATTCTTCATTTTTCTTTCCCCTTCAGCAAATTTTTATGCCCCTTTTCCCTATAAATAAATCATGAAGCACTTGGCTTGGTATGCATATCATGCTTCTGTCTTCCTTGAGACAGCCCTCTCAGAAGGAGCGCTCTCAGAATGCATAAACATCCTTGCAGGACTGGGCTCCCTTGCTTGCTCATGTGTACAACTCAAGGTTGCAGATATTGCCAAGTGCATCTGCCATTTAAAAAAAACCCAAACACCAAAAAGCCCCACAAAAAAGCAAAGAAGCCAACAAGCCTTAGTAGGAAAATGTAGGAAGAGACACCCTTGAATGAATAGGGTTTTTAAAAAATATGTTTACAATTTAAGAGCCACATTAATGTTGTTACAAAGGAGGTGTCCTTAGTGCAGGCAAAGGCAGATAATTCATTATCTTTCCAAGTTCCTCCTTGCAACATATGCTTACTTAGATTCTAGTGGAAAGCCAAGGTAAATGCATAAAACTTTAATAAACAAAGCTTTTGTTTGTGGTTTCAAATTTTACTTATGTTTGACCTTTGTTCCTGTGCTTACTTGGTATTTCTGTTGTAAGGGCAAGATTGCCTATCTGAATTATCTTTATCCTTAAAATAATTTTTCTAAAAAAAAATCTTATATGAATAAACCCAAAAGAAGGGCATAATTGTGCATAACCTGCCTATTCAATCAAAATCCTCAAAGTCTTTTACAACTGAAGACTAAGGAAGCTTGAAAATCACAGGGTAGGTGGCAAAATTTTACCATGAATTAACAGTCATCAGGTACACGACCAATAAACAGCTTCTTTTGCAATGGAAAGAAAAAATAGCGAAAAATAAATAAAAATTAAAAATAACCACACGAAATATCAAAATAAAATGAAGATTAACAATAGACCTAGTTATATTCAGTATGTTTAGCAATAACCTGGATGAGAATTGGATAAGATGTCAACATTACTTTCTAGAAAGGCTCTGAATTAATTAATGAACATTGTGAGTGATTGTCAGGTGCACTTCTGAAGGACTGAAAAGAGCTAGGTTGCCGGATGTCATGCTGTAGCTGGAACATGGAATTAACTTGCAAGGTAATTAAAGTAGAAGGGGCAATTTAAAATTACGTGTATACGCTATTGGATTCTGAATTACTTGTAACCTCTTGGGAGAAAGATCTACACGTCATACATGACATCTTAATAAAGGCATCTACTTAATATGCAATGGGCCTCCAAAACCCAAATACAACACTTGGCGTATATTTAGAAAGGGAATCAGTTAGAAAATATAATCATGTCATTGTATAAACTGACGGAGTCGCCTCACTGTGAATTTAATATTGAGTTTTGGTTACTTCATTTCAGTGAAGGGTAAAAGAAATTATTAGAAGAGCTAGAAAGGTGTGAGAGCGCAGTCATGAAGAGGGATTATGGAGACTACCCTGATTCAGTTTGGGAAAGGAAAGAGATCTTCTGCTTAAGAGATCTTAAGAAAAGAAATGATAGCAGTTTCTAAAATAATGACATATGAAAGACCTGTCCTGAACACAGAAGAAATACTTGAAAATAGTAAGTAATAGGTTTAAAAGATAAATGTTTCTTATGCTCCACATCATCATCTTGTAGAATTTCCTGTTGTTGGCTGTTGTTGAGGCTTATAGTTCGATAAAGGTGTGGATATGGAGGGGAAAAAAAAGAAACAATTAAACATTTTTATTCATGAAGCAATCAGCACTGTTATGTTGACAAGTATGTCACAGAGAATGTTGGTCCTTACTCTTCAGAGGTAAAAATAGTGAAAAAGTTTCAGGAAGGATTCCCTCTCTGCTTCAGCCTGTTGTTTTGCAGTGGTTTTTATTTGTTCTTAATAAAGCAATCAGGAAATTTAACTTTCCTCTGAGTCATGTACTGTAGGTTGATGCAGGAGGTACACTACCGTTGTCTGCAAGATCAAAACAGAGTCTAAAATATGGGCTCCAGTTCAAGTACATTTTTACTGAGTTAAAAAATTGCTGTAGTCTGTGTATTGCAGATGATCAAATTTGAGGCTCTTAATGTTCCTGCATGACTTTAAATCCATGATCTTATACTTAGGAAATCAATAGTTTGTCTCTGTGTTACAGTCCTGCCTACAGAATAAATAAACCAGCAGCAACCTAAAATTTGTATTTTTGTACAGCATGCTTAGAATTTGTGTGCTGGCTTTCATGAGGTGAAGAACAGTATTGACACGTGTACTGGTATGGGGAAGTAGCTAACCCAGACAAGTCCACCACAGTAATTCAGTTAACGCAGTTCCTTGGAAATTCAGTGAAGGAACAATCTACACTAACACTTGCACATCCGAAGAAATTAACATTAATTTTGTGTGCAAAAGCAGAAAAGGACTGTACAGATTAAGACTTTGAGGGCTCCTGTATAATTCATTCATAAGTATATATATATATATATAAAACAATCAGCAGTTTTTTCAAGTATCTGGTAGCCTTCTGTTAATTAGGAGTGTATGTGCATGTAAAATTCTTCCCAGGATAAAATGGGTTCAATCGTTATTTTCTGTTTCTGGCTTGAGAAGAGGTTGAATAATGGATTCCCTGGCACTTTTCACTTACTCCTACTTTGTCAAGTGGAAGGACTTTGGAGTGGATACTTCGTCCCTTGCTATGGAGTTTAATCAATCCTCTCCTCTTCCTGTGAAGCAGGGCGGTGATATTACCCTATTTAGGTGGAGAGGCAGGAGCTGAGAGAGTTGCCTGAGGCTCTGCAGGCAGCTGGAGCCAGTTCTAAATTTAGAGCTCTTGGTGTTTTGGTTGATGGCAAGGGATTTTAGAGACTGAGCTGTGCCGACGGCGGGGCTGGGTATTGCAGCTGACTTAATAGCACTTGTCCAGTGAATGATGTCCATTTTTTTGCTTCCGCTGTAGAATGGGCTCCTTCATCAGCTTGGGAGAAGCCCCAAAATTACCTCTGCCTCTCATTCTAGTGACTTGGCAGCAGCCTCTCTGAGCTTTTAAGCAGCCAACTTGCTCCCATGCCCTAGAATATTATCTTCCCTTTTCTTGTTGGAGAAATGTTTGTCTTGATCTCATGAGATAGATGCTGCCCTGGACTTCACAACTCTTTCACTGAACTGGCTATGTGGTCTGATGTTGTAAAGAGGGAGGGGCTTGGAGAAAGCTCAGGAATACATAGTATAGGAAGGAAAAGGGGTAATGCCTTGCTTCTTGGAGGTGCACTGTGGATCTCTTTGGCAGGGCCTGAGCTCACACCTTGTTCCCTATTCCTCCAACTGTCCTGGCTGGTTACATTGCAAAATATGAATCCCTTGAGTTCTGCAGAAGTGAAATGTGGGCTGTGTGGAAATAGGATGAGGAAATGCATTCCTACGGGATGGCTGTCAGGAAAAATATATAGCACTTTTATTTTGACCTGGCTGTTCCCAAAGCAGCAGAGTGATTGGTTCATAGGCTGTCTGCAGCTTTAAGTTGGCACCTGAGGGACTTGGGGGCTCCTATTGGTGTTTGTGCATGTTCACATGCAAGTTCCCAAAGTGTAGCTTTTTATTTTTTTGAGAGTAGAAATATCAGCCCAAGAGATCATAGAATCATAGAATCATTAAAGTTGGAAAAGACCCTTAAGATCATCGAGTCCAACCGTTAACCTATCACTGCCAAGTCCATCACTATGCCATGTCCTCGAGCACCACATCTATCCGTTCTTTAAAAACCTCTAGGGATGGAGACTCAACCACCTCCCTGGGCAGCCTGTTGCAATGCTTGACCACCCTTTCGGTGAAGAAGTTTTTCCTAATATCTAACCTAAACCTCCCCTGGCGCAGCTTGAGGCC